GTTGCTTTTTAAATATTTATTTAATTAAATTTTTTTATTAACTGTTACCGAGAAAAAATCACAAGTAAATTGCTGTTCCGATAATTTATGTATCATTTCAAAGTCTTGCCCAAATAAGTACCGAAGTCAATACTCTATCTTATACCTAATTTAGGATTAACCAATGACGTTTAAATATTTTTACCAGTAAAATTCTGAGTTTCGCAGAAGTAATTTTTATAGCTTGACTAAGTAATAGCTTAAATAAGTATAATTTAAGTTTGAATTGCTTTTTCAAGAAATGTGACTAAAGCGTAAGCAGATTCTAGTAGGTATTCTATGTATAGTTTAATTGAAGTTGGTTACTTGGAAATGATTTCAATTTATTTACTTGAGATTAGTGATGACAATTCCAAGTAACTCAAAAATATTAGATGGGTGAATATCCCAAACACGTTTTTTACGCGGCGGAGCTGAGAATCGATGGGAGAAATGTAACTAGAGCGTTGATTTTTTTTCTGTATATAGTTTAAACAGCGTTTTACACGATAGCAAAGTCTTCAGGACAATATGTAGTTATTTTATGTGCTAAAAAAATTTTCAAAGACCCAAAATCTAATTGCGGTGGCGCGTCCTAACTCTATTTCTACTCATAAATTGTGTTATTCCTTCTTTCTCGGGGACTTTAGTAATTTAAGAATAGTATAGCCATAAAATATATTAAATAAGACTTCCAAATGATATAAAAGAAATGTGATACTTCATATTTTAAGTGTCTTAAATAGCCTTTCAAAACTGTCCCACGAAAAAAAGCAATTACAGTGGCTCAATTTCGACACTCTCTTACTTCTCCAAAGAAGGTTTGAGAGACGTAGAGTTCTTCTTCCCTGCATCACTCAGCTGTGTCCTCCTGATCGGGCTATAAAGACTTGCGACTTGTGGTATTGTTTTTCCAGCAGACCCGTAAATATTTGTATCAGCGGCACAGGAATACAAAATTTTTCAATTTCGCTGTCAAGTGTATGAGTGAAAGCTACTTACTTAGATGCTAAATAATTCTTTAACATGATTAAAGTTTGGTGTTTTGTTGTATCTGCATACAGAAATTATTGATCAGAATTATAGTTTTCATTATAATTTGAATTTTGTAACAAATTTTTAATTTCGGTGGCGCAATTTCGGTGGCTCCGGTGGCGAATCTATTGCCAGAATAGGCCTTATTGGCTCTGGAACATTGTACCTAGGTCTACTAAGGTCTCAGCCATAACTACAATGAGTCAACTACGTCAGTGAGTCGAAGTTGTGTGATGTACTCGCCGTATCTTGATACTGAGCTCGGTCTAGCTCCGAAGCTTGAAAACCTCTAAGTGGGAGGTAGTGAAGACTTTAAGAGATTATGGTGTCTCTCTGAACCCTCGTAGCAATCAGATAAGTTTCGAGTTCTGATCTTGGGGGAGGGCTGATATGATGAAGTTTTCATACAAATACTTCAGAAGTTGCATGTATCGACAATCAATTTGACGCCATTAAAGAGACTGTAGCACAGCCCAGGTCTTGACCGAATCGAAATATGTACAAAAAGGCCAATAATAATGACTGATTATAGTCCTCAGTCTTCTGCATAATTTGACGCGGCATTAAATATGTACGTAGTATTACGAACGTCTTTTCGAAAATGAGGTTGTCTGGGAGACTGGATGTTGGATAGCGAGAGTGTCATATTTCAGGAAAAGCGGTGAAGCCCGAAGCAGGAGGCCTCACCTGACTCTGGACCTTCGCCAACGTCCATTCTATTCCAGTCTCTACCACCACCACCATGTCTTATTTTTTGGTTTATCGGCCAATAAACATGGTGGTATTTAAGGGAACTTTAGTACTAGCATTCCATCTGATTTCATAAGCTCAGTTGTGATTTCATTATCTCCTGGTACATACCTTGTTGTTTTTAATAGGGCATTCTAATCTCGCTCAAGCTAAAGTCTAGGATTTCTTCGCTACAGTGTCGGAATAATCTCGATCTTCAGCCTATTACTAGTAGTGCTTCTTAATCTCTCCTAGCAGCTTAGGCATTTACCAAAATGGTTCTGCTATCTTCCTTATTCATGTTGGTAGGTATATTCAATTTGGTCCTCGCAAATACATACTTTCGATTTATTACAAAAAAAAAATTGTCTTTATAATGCACTTTGTATCAGCGTGAGGACTTGGATGGCTATTTATACATCGATACTAAGCAAAATCTTAAAAACAGATAAGAATAGTTCTGAAACAGCTAAAATTTCCCTAGTCTCGTAGGTTGCAATCTATTCTGCCACTCGAGCTGAAAATTCGTGGGGTTTTGGAGCTGGATTGGCACTGGTCGTGGCTTAGGCTTTATCAGTCGNAGATAGTTATGCCTCGAATATTTTACCAAGAACAAAATGTATTAAAATGACAGCGCAAGTTTTCGACTGTTCAGCACTTGAAGAGTTTTTTAAAAAAATATGCAAATTTTTAAATTACCTATGGTAATTATTTATGGCCTCAAAAAGTTTACATTAATCTAAGAACATCGTCATCAATCCAACAAGGAATGAATGAGGTCTTAAAACGTGTTTTACTAGAACCTACTCGTGGGTAAGTAGGTACCGCTTAGTAAGTACAACCATGAATAGTTGGTACACACTTTTATAGCTTTTCCTCACAGCAATTAAAAAAGCTAGACAGATGTTCCCGACGATCCAATGAAAGTGTTTAACTCGCTAAAAGTTATTCCTTCATAAAACAAGTCAACCGTGATTACCGCCGCGAAAAACAAATAAGTATCAGCCACCGCGTTAAATATTCCATAAATTTAATAACACGTCGCGAACTTTAATAAAGCATTTCGACGCATAATGAGGGTAAATATTGGATAAAGCGGAAACAGACGAACGTGTAGGGAAGTGCGTGTTTATCGACGCGACACAGCGTAGCCTACTTTATACGCCTGCCGGTCCATCAGGCGCTATTAGCCGACGCCGGGCTAGCACTAGGAAGGGCAGACTTGTAGACACGGCAGATTAGAGGTTAGATTACAAGTATTTTTAACAGATTTCCCTTTCTTAATTTGAGCAAGTATTTTTGACAGATCTTCAAGCCAACAGGTTATCATCATCAAGAATCAAAATAAGAGAAAGTAAAGCAAATGAGTCAAAACTTTGCATGCACATGCACAAATAACAGTACATCGAACTATACAGTTTTGTTGCAAAAACGCCTCTATTACCACTGCATTAAGAAGCTACGTATACGTTGATGTCGACAGCACATTTTTACCATTTTTTTATAATACGTAGACAGAAACTAAAAAACACAGATTAAACTCATTAAAAGATACCAAGTAACCGATATAAGGTAAAGAGTTACAAAAACAGTAGATTCCTAGTTACGTTCAAAGGCTGGAAGAAAGAAAAGTTTAGAGTAGTTGAAGGAAAAGAGTTGGTAACTTTGCTTCGCTGAAAGAGTACATAAAGCACTGAAAATAAGTGTTATTTAACATTTTTGCAATTAACCACGAGCTCGACTAATAAAAACGCTCGTCAGACTACTAAAAAAGTCTGCCATAAATACTTCGTCGAAGAATTTTTATTAAAAAACCAATATTGTCTAAACAGTCTGATCTCTATGGAATGTCGGCAAATCTCTAATGAAACCGCTTCTGTTTATTCTGCCGATACGAAATGAGAAATGAGTGCAGCAAACATTTAACGATTGTTACCGTACTTTAATATTGTAATATTAATTGCGAGACTTGATACCTAGTTGCGTCCGGAAGGCACGATTGTAGAAGGGCTACGATTATTACGACTTGTGTCCAGGGAGCGGAAATTGAAAATTGAAGTTATTGAGTCAATAGGAAAAATACGTCAAACGGGTTGTCCAAAGACCGCTGGGCGGGAGGCGCGATCCCGCGGATTAGGCGTCCAACACGCACGGGCGCCGCTTCCTATTTATGTTGCCCCGACCAAACAACTTGTAGGCTCTTTATTACAGTTGTTCTTTTCCGCTCACGACGTGTCGTTACCGTTTCGATAAAATATCGTGTCGATTCTTTGTTTCGAGCAAGGGGCTTAAGTTTCACTCGGTCGTGCTTGATTCGGCATTAAGTATATAAACGTTTCCGTCTGCAGGAAACTGAATGTTTATTAATGTTTACAGCGGTGCTAGGGTTCTTATTTCATTTTGCTGGCCTGTTGCTATAAACCCCCATTTTGAATGTAAACTTGGTAAGTTTTTAAAAGGTTTTGGTGCTGCAATGTTCCTCGCTCANTTCGCTCATTTTAACTTAAACGAAATACTAGGACGGAATGGAAGTTTTTCGACCTAGTTCGTGATACTAATAGGTATAGTATAACACAATGCCCACGATTTGCGTCTAAACGCCTAGATCATGAATCCATCTCTCACGCACAAAATCTGAACCCATATAGTCTTATAGAAATCATTAAAAAACACGAAACCAGCAACAGCTTTCACACATTCATCCATTATATAGTAAGCCATCTCAAAGAATTCAATAATTAATAATTAACACTAAATAGCCCGGAAAGATAAACACTGCCTTGCTCTCGGAGTAACCCATTAGCTCCGATAGTAAGTGCAAACCGATAGCATTTCAACAAAAAAAAAAAAAAGAAATAGGTATAGAATACCTAATGATAAGTAATTGAAGAAAATCGTTGTAAGTAGGTAAAGCAAGTGAAAAATGGAAGTCAGAGTGTATTCGTATTATTATAGAAAGCGGATGATAAGTTAACTTTATCAAATTATTAATTAAAACCTAAATTGAAATTTAAGTACACGCGTTTCAGTTTACTAAACCGAAAGTCACTGAATAAGGAGTTGTTCAGTTATATTGTGAAGTTTGAGCGACTGTTTTTTGTATAAAATAAAACTATGAGAAAATTCAGATGTTACAAGTTAGAACTCTAAATCAATCAATGGCACTGAGCCTTCCTAATAACATTTGTTTTTAATTCCAGATGCAGTGACAGTATGCCATGAGCGCCACGAGGATGGAGCGGGCGGGGAGGCGCGCTAAGGCGGGCTCGCTAAGCGGCTTGTCGGGCGGAGTGCCGAGCGGCGCGAGCGTTCGCCGACAACGCTCGCTCGAGTGGGGCGGCGACCGCTACAGCAGCAGCGACGACGACCGACCGCCCCAGCCGCCGCCGCTCGCCGACCGCGTGTTCGCGTCGCTGCTCGCTCAAGCCACCCAACAGTTTGATGGTGAGTCTTAGATAGGCAGGCTAGCTGAGCATTTTATCTGGCGTGACGTAGTTGCTGGCGTGACGTAGTTGCCGGTGTTTGCCAGTAGCGTTCGCTTTAGTGGGGCGGCGACCGCTACAGCAGCAGCGACGACGACCGACCGCCCCAGCCGCCGCCGCTCGCCGACCGCGTGTTCGCGCCGCTGCTCGCTCAAGCCACCCAACAGTTTGATGGTGAGTATTAGATAAGCAGGCTAGCTGAAAATTTTATCTGGCGTGACGAGATTGCGTTGCCAGCGTTCGCCATTAGCGCTCGCTGTAAGGTGAGTATAGACTTGAGCATTTTATCGAGCATTTCTATGTAATGTAACGTTCTTACGAATGGTACAATACAAGTAAAATGTATGGCATGTCGTAACAGATGATACACTGTAATATTTCATAGAGCGGCTCGTTGATCTGTTACAAGTAAATGCTCTAGTATACTCACCTTTAGCCGCTACCGCTCGTGAAAAAAATAACATAAAAAGTGACTACAGTTGTATCCTATTTTTCGGTCCATAGAAATACCATTTTTGCTAACGAAAATAGCAATTAAACAGTATGTATGTTTCCGACAGAGCTTAACTAGATGTGACAACCACTGATCATTAAAGATATACACGTAAGAGGCTGTTCAGTTATAGCTATGAATTCATAATCGCTTTGCTATATTTGCTACGAAACAGATGTATATTATACGGTTACATCGAATCGGTTTCGAAATATTATTTCTACACAAGCACAGCACTAGTCGTCAACGTGTGATGATATTTGTTCAAGAGCCAATGTCACGAGGACAAAAAACATAAGTACTTTCTCGTTTACCTTTACAGTATTTACTTTATTCGCTTTACCAAAATGTTTTAACTTTTGTTCGACTTCAAGTCAGCTTCTCTTAATAGTTGCCTAGGAAAATTCCCCACCGTATCAAAACTGCCAGCTATCTGAGATCGGATCTCTACTACGCCTAGTTTTACTCGCACGTTCTAGGTATTCGCATGTTAGCGATACAGCGTGCTACGAGCACAATGTAGCAATGCAAGCTTGGCAAAGTTTGTGGGTGTTATTTGCTTACAAGTTTAGATACTTACCTAATCGCATGTGTGTGTATTCTAGGTAATAGCGGCAACATAATTCCGATACTTAGTTCATAGTAACAAAGTCAAACCTATTTAGTAGAGCACAAAAAGTGCCTTGATTTCATTCCGTAAGTAATCCATCATCGCACTACAACGCATCATTTTATTTTTATCAACATATCTACCTAGGTATCTGGTGTTTGTGTAATTTATCGAAATTGTAAAAGTGTTATTTCTAAGCTATGAAAAAATAAGTTAAGATGTCGCGAAAACAAGAAATCAACATTACTAAAAATGTTTTTAGTCCGAAAACATGTTATGTTGGGCAAAACATAGGGTTTTTCATATTTGACTGATGAGCCCACACAGGCTGGCGTGGCGGGATCAACTCCGAATTTGTTATTCATTCAGCGACACGGGCGAAGGTCTGCCGAGCCCTAACAAGTGGGATCATTAGTGGGCTGCGGGGAGGGGGGATCACGGCAATTGATAGGGGAGCACCCTGTGGTGAGCTTATGAGGAAAACTTTACACGTAAAGCCTTCGGCTTCGACCTTCTGCGCGAGGAGTTGATGAAGTCATAGACCACTCGTGCATAATTTTAAAGATGTTCTGAATAACTTCTATTAAGATAGAGATAGATAGATTCAGTTTCAGTTAAGATGTTCAGTTTCATCACAATCTCATGAGGTTTATTAATAACGGAGTAGAGATCGCTTTTTCATCTGAGGTTACATAATAATTGTTGCCTTTTCTGTAGATGCAATAAAAGGTTTCTTGAATCTAATACGTAACTTGTAATGTTAGGAAGAAATAAGTATTTTTTGTTTTAGAGATACAATGGTGGGTGCCATGGGAATTACCCACCCTAGGTACTGTATTTTTGTCAAAGGATAGATGTGGCCGTAATTACCTTTTATTTAAATTCAGATTTTCTATTTTGAAGACTATTGTCTTCAAAATAGATTATATTATTATTGACTCTCTATTGAGAGGAAATATTAGATTAGGTATTTGTAAAGCAATTTGATCAAAAAAGGATGAAAGGTTTTAAATATCAAATATGTAGTTTTGGCATTTTGTTCCATATTTTTTTTGTTAAACCTAAATTAAGTTTTATCAATATAAAAATATTCTTAAATAAACTACGTCCAGCGCAATTTCAGTAGACCGGAAGCAAAGCCTACTTTTACGTTCATGATTTGGAAGGCCTATTTCAGGCTTAGGCCAGAATTCGTCTGTCGCTGCGATGAGAACGTACGGCCTGACTCGCTTTGGGTTAAATTGGCCGTAGTTTCTACTTGGGCTGGAGCACTTTGACCACATATCTACAGCTAGGACCATAATTCGTATGAACTTATTAGGATATGGTAATGCTTATATGATACAAAACCATTATATTAATGTATCCTACATTAACATTATTTTAAGAGTCACTCATCTAAGACTTCTTTCAGGTACTTAACAAATTAGATTAAACGGCTCATATTAAGGGTAAATAGCTCAAACAAATTAAACTTAAGGTATCAATTCACACAAATAATTATTTACATACATAAGTAGAACGGCGCTTCATAAAATCTAGGTCTAACTAGGCACCAAAATTAGTTCCTAGTGTTGGTCCTTCTAGGTTGAGAAGTTCATAATAATATGCCTAAGTATAAGCCATAATGCTACCTTTTAAAGGGGAGCCGGCAATTTCAAATCCCATGATATGCAGCAAGATCATCTAAAAGTTTACTGTGCGGCACGGGACTTTTATTAGGAATAACCGTAAAGGTAAGTGCGTACTACCAGCCTAGATGCTCGCTCGCGTCTTATCTTGCCCACTAACTACAAACTTACAGTCATAACGATAACAATAGTTAAGTATCATTATAAAACTGATAACAATGGACGGTATGGCCTGGTGGTTCGAGTTAGGACTTGGCTACTACAACGCCAGATTCTTGTTTGATTTCCATTAGAGGCAAGTCAGTGGTAATTATGTAGGATCAGTGGAATGTGATAGCTAGTCTTATGTATTGAATATCAATAGTCCCTCTATCATATCTAGAGTTGTAAGTAGACTGGAAAATAATATGATAGTGGATATTAAGGTTTAATTCTGGAAAACAATTTCATGAAGTTGCCAGATACAGAATGTCTTTAATAATATTCCAATACATAATCTTGTCAACTCTTTATTCGCTCATCTTNTTCATCTTATCCACCCACTGAACATGGAGGGCATCGGGTATTTATATTTAACCCGTAGGTATTTTATTATCATCCTTAAGTGGTTTCATAAAATCAAGCAAAATATTTATTGCGTCGACATGATGATATTTGAAATCCGAGAAGACGCTTAAGAATCTAACGGTTTATTACTTATTCAATTTAACATTATGACAAATATTGAATTTCGTCCGTTTGTATGTTGCATGGATAGCTGTTTGATAATATTGTGTTGATTTAAACACAATCTGTGTATTGAGAAGCCACAATCCACATCATAATATTATTGTAGAGATGATCTTAGATCTCCCTTATGCTTTTTATTATCTATCCCCTAAATTTTAAGCCTGAAAGCTGATGTGGTGTTAATTAAACTGAATTCGAGATTAAATAAACAAAAAAGCTGTACATTCTTACTTTTGTTTGTAGAAGGATTTCTACACAAGTTGTCTAATAGGACATTGGTCAAAGAAATAAGAATACTTTATTGATTCAAAAAATGTCTCCTCAACTAAAATGAAACCCGTGCAACGCCGGGTGTGACGAGTTGTAGTATCTAATCAATAAGCAATCCTCAATCCTCAAAGCTCAAGTAGGCGAGGCATCAGCCATTATTGAATAAAAGATTTTATTAAATTCCCGCTGTGACGATAAACGATTTATTGGACTAAGACAGTTGGATGATTATAGGTATGTTGTACACGGAATTATATTATTATGGAAATTTAATCAATTTTGACTATTGCATTAGTATGCAGCCTTATTAAAAACTGAAATCCCACCTACCTATTAGTATTCATGTTGATATCATAACAACTACTATCTAAGTGCATAATTACTTATGTAGGTACCTTTGTTACATTCGATGCGCGATACAATCAACTTTCGAATAACTGAAATTCGTGTGAGTGAAGCCGTCGCAGAAGGTAAAGAAGCTATGAAGTATCATATTACAAAAATACCTACGAATCATTGAAAAACTGATAGTGCTTGAAGAAAAGCTTTTAATTTTTTTTTCAGTGAAATTTAAAAAAAAATCATGAATTAAAATTTTATAATATGTATAATAACACTTATTCCAATAAAATCTATGCACGAAATACGCTAGTAGAGTAAGTAGCCTATCTAAAAATAAACCCAGGCACGAATTAAGTTCCAATGGAGATGCATACAGAGAGCTTACGGCGGGTTCATGAGCACTTGCAGCTTAGCTCGTAGCTCTAAGCTGATTGAGAAGGTACAACTAGTTCCCGCGCGGATTTTTCGTTTAAAGGTTCCTACCGTCAAAATGGCTACTCTTTACTCTTCGGTTAACTGTCTAGTATTTTTAAAATACATTATGATAATGAATGCACCAGGGCCATTTTTCTCATATGGAAAGACAGCCACTTATGGGAGTGAAGTATTGATGAGAGAACAAACAATATTTCATAACTAAGTGTTATAAGCCTACGGTCTCAACCACACATCTATTGTATAGGTAACTAACTGTATGTAGTTGTCAAATGTGCGCAAAAGATATGAAATCCCTAGTTACGAGGGGATGGACTTGTCTTTTTAGGATATTAAATGGGTTGGAAGTAATTCATATCCGTATTATAACCACCCAGTATATTCAAACTCGTGGGTTCTTTTGGAATCTCGTCGAAAGTATCCATAATTTTATCCAGACTTGTAGGCTACAA